GACAGAATTTTTTCAAAAGAATCATGCCAGATATCATAGTTATGGATCCCAAATAATAGATCTAAAGGATATTAGACATAGTTCATACAATATTTTTGAGGGAAATGGTTAGTACAATTTTAGAAAAGAAATACTTATATAGGAAAAAACTTAAACATCCGAAAAAATCATATATATTATTAGATGGATGTAAATTGGATAGAAATTATGTTGACAGCAAGACAAGAATTCATCTTGAAATGGATCCTCCACATTTCTATGATCTTGTAATTCACAGAATTTAGCATCTTGCATTAGTGACGAATTCAAATTCAACATATGCCCAACCCAAATAGCTAAAGCAAGAACAGAACAAACAACATGCATGAAGCAAAGAACGACGACAGCGGCGCATTTCCTACCAATAACACATCTAGCTTTATATCTAATTCTCTAGTGATAACCATCTCATACAGATTTTACTACTAACCTGAAGCTTCCGGATTCCTTGTAGTGCACTTTTGTATGCCAAGAGAGAATACCCAGATCCAATACCCAAATTCCTCAAAACAGTGGAATCGGTCAAATCCCTCTGTCAATGATTACACATGCAATAAGTATAGTATCACTTTACCAGAATGAGACACTAAAGACGTGTTTTTTGAAATGTGATATAGCACTGAACTTCACATTAGGTACTCCTCAAGAACCATGAATAAGGGTGGAAAAGTAAATGATACACACCTGCATACGAGAGATGGGCAATTTCGAGCTGAGAGCAGATAAAATAGCATTAGCCAAACACAAGTTGCCCTCACTATTCTCAAAATCAATGGGATTAACTTTATGAGGCATAGTTGAAGATCCAATCTCCCCAGCCTTGGTCATCTAGAAAGCAAAATTATCATGAAATTGTTTAGTTCCAAATTGTTAGTTTGGGAGCTAAAATAAGTCCTAATATTTTAGGGGCATGTGGTCAAGCATAAGAAAGTTACCTGCTTAAAATAACCTAACGAAATATAGCTCCATAAGTCCCGATCAAAATCAGTCAGGATGTTATTAAACTGAACAACTGCATTGAAAAGCTTTGCGATATAGTCATGCGGCTCAATCTGCATACGGAGCAAGCAACAGGCTCAGAAAGAGAGTATGCATGCAAGTCAAGTGTCATTCCATTCATAGGCCACATTGACATAATCTTTCAGACAAACAAACTCAACAAAATTATTAGCTGGCGCTGCAATTCCATTATTATTTATGCACTAACTGGTTGGTGTAGAATAGGCTAATTGATAAATGTACTGTAATTCCAAGATAGATGGATAACCTGCAAGTGTATCTACTTATTATCAAGCATGCACATGGTAGTATCTACTTACTACATGAATCACCTTTTGTAAACTCTTGAAACGTGAAATGATAAAAAAAAACCTACATTTCAGTCACCTGAGTCGATTGCAAAACTCATATTAAAGAAAATCCCAAGGCTCTATTAGTTATACACTTATACAGTTTGTATAGTTGCCTAAATCTTCACGAGGACTGTTTACTAGTAAACTAGATCAAGCAGAGAACAATGAATACAAGCAGCAGTGTCAAAAAAGTATCAAGCAGAGAACAAGGAATACAAACAGCAGTGTCAAAACAGGTAAATAAAGTACTCATCCCATTAATGAAACCTATCCAAGTCATCCACAAAGAAAAAACCATATCAAACTCGTCTATGCATTACTTAATTACACAAAAAAAAATCCATCAATCTAAAATGAATCAGATAGGTAAAACCTTGCAAAGAGAAAAGTAGTAGAAGTAAATAAACATGCCTGTGTCACGTAAGGGTTGAAACCTAACCCCAAAGAGGTCACGAACTCAGCTGCAACAGTTGGCCAATCAATATCAGGATATGCAACTTTATGTGCATTGTAGTTTCCAACAGCTCCAGCACACTTGCCCAATAGTTGCACTTCTGTAAAGGTCTTCCCTACTTCACTTAGTCTGAAAGCAAAATTTGCCATCTCCTTTCCTAAAGTAGTGGGTGAAGCAGGCTACAAAGGGAGTTAGAAGATATCAGAACTAAACCACATAAACCTATTACAAAAGCAAATCATTTATTCCTGTAGCATAACGATGAAAATTATCAATATGATATTTCAGCTGCTTTGAGTAATCAACTTAGTATATGTCCGCTTCTAATATTGGCCAAGTCACGCCCCGGGCTGAAGGGCCCATTGGTGCGGTACAAGCCGTGGACCCAACAAGTGTAACGTGTTGTTTGGCTCAATCCACTGCCAAAATTGACTAACCGATGTTACACTTAAATAATTTAAACCACATAAATTCTCACTCATTTCCCGATGTGGGGCTAAATAGGAATGTCACGAACACCCCACCTTACATAAGCGACGTCCTCATCGTGACATAACAATTGGCACATCACGGTATCACTAGGCTATTTGGACTCTAGAGGTGGCTCCCGCCGCACTCACGCAATATAGCACTTAGCCCCGCATAACACTTAGGCCTCGTTTGGTACGCAGGAATGGGGTGGAATGGAATGGTCATTCTCACTTCTCATTCCTTCCTATCAAACACACCCTCTTTTTTAAAGTTAGAATGCTCATTCTCACTTCTCATTAATTCTCACTTTATGTGGGAATGAACATTCCCAATGAAATGATAGGGAATGGACATTCCCACTTAAATGAGAATCTATAAAATATACAATTTTAAAATACGTCCATTCCCACTTCCTTTTATAAATTACACCCAAACGTGAGAATGAGAATGACTATTCCATTCTCACATTAATTCCATCTCATCCCTTCTTTCATTCAATTCTCATTTGAGTCCATTCCCGCGTACCAAACGAGGCGTTAGTTCCACTCTTCTGACTCGCAACTGCTCTGATACAATTTGTCACGCCCCGGGCCGCCGGGCCCATTGGTGCAATACAAGCCGTGGGACCCACTAAGTGTAACACGTTTGGCTCAACCCACTGCCAAAATCGACTAGTTGATGTTACACTTGAGTCTTGGGCTTACCTATTTAAGCAACTTAACTTCTCACTCATTTTCCGATGTAGGACTAAATAAGAGTGTGACAGGCCAGAAAAAAAAAGACAAGATTATATTATTTTTAACCTTCAAATTGAAAAGGTTCCATTTAATTTATTTCATAGCATCAAGCTAAAAACTCATGAAGAAAGGAATGTAGAACATGTCCTGCAAACATATATGAACAAAGATAGACAGTATAATCTTTATCAAACCAGTAAATAACCTAACGAAATATAGCTCCATATGTCCCGATCAAAATCAGTCAGGATGTTATTAAACTGAACAACTGCATTGAAAACCTTTGCGATATAGTCATGCGGCTCAATCTGTATACGGAGCAAGCAACAGGCTCAGATAGAGAGTATGCATGCAAGTCAAGTGCCATTCCTTTCATAGGCCATATTGACGTAACCTTTTAGACAACACAAACTTAACAAAATTATTAGCTAGCGCTGCAATTCCATTTTTATTTATGCACTAACTGGTTGGTGTAGAATAGGCTAATTGATAAATGTACTGTAATTCCAAGATAGATGGATAACCTGCAAGTGTATCTACTTATTATCAAGCATGCACATGATAGTATCTACTTACTATATGAATCACCTTTTGTAAACTCTTGAAACGTGAAATGGCAAAAAAAACCTACATTTCAGTCACCTGAGTCGATTGCAAAACTCATATTAAAGAAAATCCCAAGGCTCTATTAGTTATACACTTATACAGTTTGTATAGTTGCCTAAATCTTCACGAGGACTGTTTACTAGTAAACTAGATCAAGCAGAGAACAAGGAATACAAGCAGCAGTGTCAAAACAGGTAAATAAAGTACTCATCCCATTAATGAAACCTATCCAAGTCATCCACAAAGAAAAAACCATATCAAACTCGTCTATGCATTACTTAATTACACAAAAAAAAATCCATCAATCTAAAATGAATCAGATAGGTAAAACCTTGCAAAGAGAAAAGTAGTAGAAGTAAATAAACATGCCTGTGTCACGTAAGGGTTGAAACCTAACCCCAAAGAGGTCACGAACTCAGCTGCAACAGTTGGCCAATCAATATCAGGATATGCAACTTTATGTGCATTGTAGTTTCCAACAGCTCCAGCACACTTGCCCAATAGTTACACTTCTGTAAAGGTCTTCCCTACTTCACTTAGTCAGAAAGAAAAATTTGCCATCTCCTTTCCCAAAGTAGTGGGTTAAGCAGGCTACAAAGGGAGTTAGAAGATATCAGAACTAAACCACATAAACCTATTACAAAAGCAAATCATTTATTCCTGTAGCATAACGATGAAAATTATCAATATGATATTTCAGCTGCTTTGAGCAGTCAACTTAGTATATGTTCGCTTCTACTATTGGCCATGTCACGCCCCGTGCTGAAGGGCCCATTGGTGCGGTACAAGCCGTGGGACCCAACAAGTGTAACGTGTTGTTTGCTCAATCCACTGCCAAAATTGACTAACCGATGTTACACTTAAATAATTTAAACCACATAAATTCTCACTCATTTCCCGATGTGGGGCTAAATAGGAATGTCACGAACACCCCACCTTACATAAGCGACGTCCTCATCGTGACATAACAATTGGCAAATCCCGGTATCACTAGGCTATTTGGACTCTAGAGGTGACTCCCGCCGCACTCACGCAATATAGCACTTAGCCCCGCATAACACTTAGGTCTCGTTTGGTACGCAGGAATGGGGTGGAATGGAATGGTCATTCTCACTTCTCATTCCTTCCTATCAAACACACCCTCTTTTTTAAAGTTAGAATGCTCATTCTCACTTCTCATTAATTCTCACTTTATGTGGGAATGAACATTCCCAATGAAATGATAGGGAATGAGCATTCCCACTTAAATGAGAATCAATAAAATATACAATTTTAAAATACGTCCATTCCCACTTCCTTTTATAAATTACACCCAAACGTGAGAATGAGAATGACTATTCCATTCTCACATTAATTCCATCTCATCCCTTCTTTCATTCAATTCTCATTTGAGTCCATTCCCGCGTACCAAACGAGGCGTTAGTTCCACTCTTCTGACTCGCAACTGCTCTGATACAATTTGTCACGCCCCGGGCCGCCGGGCCCATTGGTGCAATACAAGCCGTGGGACCCACTAAGTGTAACACGTTTGGCTCAACCCACTGCCAAAATCGACTAGTTGATGTTACACTTGAGTCTTGGGCTTACCCATTTAAGCAACTTAACTTCTCACTCATTTTCCGATGTAGGACTAAATAAGAGTGTGACAGGCCAGAAAAAAAAAGACAAGATTATATTATTTTTAACCTTCAAATTGAAAAGGTTCCATTTAATTTATTTCATAGCATCAAGCTAACAACTCATGAAGAAAGGAATGTAGATCATGTCCTGCAAACATATATGAACAAAGATAGACAGTATAATCTTTATCAAACCAGTAATTATACATGATGTATTAGGCCCATGTAGAAAATTCCAGAGTTTCAGCATGTAATCATTATTTAATTATTTCTATATAAGCCCCCACAAAAAAACTTAACTTTTATATAAAAAAATTTCACCGAAATGACCAGCCAGAAATCTTTTGAGTTATTTCAACCAAAAAAGATCCACCACCAGGACATTAGGGAAAAATTCTTAGTGGAATATTACCCTGTGCACCTTAGATTAAGTTTAACTTTTTAAACTCAAGAGTACTTTGTTTTTCTTTGAGTACTCCCACTTCTCTAATCCTTCTCTAAACGTGCTCTTGTCAGTTGCATCCCTTCTCCATTTGGGATAAATTTCATTAAGAATTTAGGATTGCTAAATAAATTAGTTCATGGAAATAAAAAAGAATTTTTCTTTTTCCTTGAAGCATTCTCTGCATTTTCTTAGTCTAATAACTTCAGATTCTTTTTTTTAATCAATATATACAATAAACTATGTCCTATGTGTAAACACAAATAAAAGGGAAATATAAGATTTTCCATTATGTTTTTATAGCATTAAAGTTTTTGTAGATAACATATAATCAACAAAAAGTTGGTGTTCCGTTATAACAAGAGTTGCCTCTCATCTAGAACTGAAAATACCTGTCCATGAGTGCGAGACAACATGGAGATATGAGCATTTTCCTTCGCTAATTTGCATATTGCATTCAACAACTCAATCATCACAGGAAAAATGACAGTGTTGAACGCCTCCTTCAGTGCCAATGCATGGGCTAAATTATTTATATCCTCTAATGTACAAGCAAAATGAAAAAACTCCAGTACCTAAAAAAGAATTTTGTAGAATCTGATGACAAATATTAAGCATCAAATGAAATCTTTGAAATCACAGTTAGTCATAGTTATAAAAAGAGGAAGCATAGAGTACCCACAACAAGGAACATCAAAAACTCACCTCAGCAATCTCAGCATTGGATTGACATTTCTGTTTCAAGAAGTATTCCAATGCTTTAACATCGTGGTTAGTTACTTTTTCAATCTTTTTCACTTCCAGAGCATCAGCTTTGCTGAAGCCACTAACTATACTTTCTAAATAAGACCTGGCATTCTCACTAAAGCTTTGAACCTCCTTGATTTCAGTATTAACATTTTGCACTAAGTAGCTAACATGAAAATAACTACAGTGGCCAGCTTTGTCAGATCATGATGGGTAATGGAGAAAGAGGTAAACCTTTTTTACTTGTAAGTTACCTCTTTCTCCATTACCCAAAACATGACTACATTATAACAAGTTTTAATGAAGATTGCTACCTATATCAAAGCAGAGGCTGGACGTTTTGTTACATTGTAAAAGAAAGCATACTAATAAGCATGACCTAAATAAACAATGTTCGATGGACTCATACAGAAACTGCTAATACTACATCATATGCAAATTTATTAGAAGAGGGGTATTAATGTCAGATATGCATATCAAATATAAATATCCTAACGGTTCACGGAGCATTTTAGGCACAACTTTAAACCTTTAACTAAGGCTTTAAACCTTTTATCTAAATACCTGAGACATTATGATTTGTAAGCCAGACGGAACAAGGATATCTAATCAACAACAGTTTCTTCATGCTTTACCAGAAACATTTCTTTATCATTCGCTACAAAAATGATTGTATAATCTACATTTAAATATGAAACCACTATTCTTAAAAAAACATAATGTAAGACTAACACTATGCACTGGTGTTGAATATAAAAATACTTATTAAATATGTATTCTTACAGGAGAATTTAATGAAAATTACCTCAACCATTACACGGTAACGGATTAACCCATATTCACTAAAGAATGGGTGCAAATCCTTGACTTTCTGCAAATATCGGCCATCTAAAGGTGATAAAGCCATAATGCTAAAAGACTCAAGATCAACAACCTCCTCTTCACGATGATGCTCCATCTAAAACATTAAAGTTCACACAGCCAAAACATTAAAGTTCACACAGCCAAAACATATTCAACCAGTTGTCCAAATATGAGGAAAATTGAAGAAAACTGATCACCAAAAAATTAGATCATTCCGGATCAAACTTAATCATCATTGAAGATTCACAAGCCCAATTATTGGATGGAATACAGCCACCTATAAATTGGGGACTGCCAAAGGATCATCTCTATTTTTTAAAAAAAATTAAGAACCTGAAATTCAAAATACAACAGTGGAGCCCTACATTACAAATTCAGAAGAAGAAAAAAAAGTGACCTATACCATGTGATATTTATTTTTTACTAAAAGTTTTACCAAAATATTCCCTCCTGTAAACTTATAAAAAATCATATCTTTATTCAAAAATCCAAAATATGCCACTTTTGAGAAACATTTCAAGATTATAGTATATGAGATTTAAGAAAACTTAGCAACGAAATAATCACAAAAAAACAAAAAACAAGCATGCAGTCAATAAAAGGCAGGGGTTGCGTTCGTGAAAATTCCCCAGCCAAGAAACCGGGAATGGAGATCTTTACCTTCGTAGTCGTGCCTCCTTCTGAACTGCTCAACGAAACCCTAAGTGGTTCGAATCGCCGAGGAGGGGTGGGCTGAATCCGAAACCCTAGCTGGCCTGATCGTATGCTGATCGAAGACGAAGAGGGAGAGGAGGAAAAGGGCGGCAAGAAAGTGAACGGGGCTCGAGGGGGTGATAAGAGCTTTTCCATGGAGCAGGGCGTACCTAGGAATTTTAGGGCCCAAGACGAAATATTAGATGAGGCCTAATTGATACAACTCATCAGTGTTACATTAAACGCTGGGCGTCCCTAGGCGCCGGACTTGGCGCCCAGCGCTTAGACGCCTAGACGGGCGCCTAAGCGGTTTCTGGACGATTTTTTTCTTTTTTCTATTTTTAATTGCGATACTTGAAGATAAATATATATATACTCAATCAAAAATGCTCACTGACTTTGTTTTTCTTTTTTTACAGATTATACTTAGTTAAGTAGCAAGCTGCAAGGATGAAGGATCAATCAAATTTCCCAACACAACTACCAAATTAAATATCGATAATTCATTCATTAAATATGTATATTCATATTGTATTCCTATTTTCAAAATTGTGAAGTGTGAAGTGTGGAGTGTGAACAGAAGAAAAAATTAAAGAAAAAAAGAAGTGTGAACAGCAAAAAGGGATTAACCAGAAGCAGGTACCTAGTTTTTAACTCAATATCTGCACTGAGCAAAAAGGGAACCTTTTCTAACATTTAAAAGAGGTAAAACTATCTTTCCCCATATATTCAAAGATACACGAATCATGATATTGGACTCAAAAGGGAACAAGCTGCTGATAAACCCAAAAAACTTGACTAATGAATTCAGTGAGCATCCCAAAAAAACAGAAGCAGCAAACTAACATGACTAATGAATTCGGTGAGCTAATTTGATATGTTAGAGCTAGTATTTAGCTTTTCTTAACAGACTCATTTACATTATGCCTTTCCATCAAACACATCATAAGTTTCAAGTTATTAATCTTTCTTGATTTGCCCATTTACACCATTGTTTAATGTCTGTTCTGTTCATCTTAATTACACGGATGATCTGAAAACACCAAAACCATATTAATGTTAAGTTGTTAACCTTTAAACCAAAAAACTTGAAATCAAAGGTCATCACTGAAGTCTGAAATAGTAAAATGATAAATAAAATAAGAAAATAACATTAAATCCTTTACCTTGTTACAGGAATGAAGCAGACTCCCAAAGGCTTCGAGAATCGAGAGGCTTCGACGAGTTCGAGCTTCGACGAGGAACAGATCGGAGGTTGAAGACGAGCTCAGAGGTTGAAGACAAAGCTCGGAGGTTGAAGACGAAGCTCCGACGAGTTCGAAGACGAGGTTGAAGCTCGGAGGTTGAAGACGAAGCTTCGACGAGTTCGAAACGAGGTTGAAGCTCGGATGTTGAAGATCGAAGACGAGGTTGAAGACGAGCTCGAGCTTCGACGAAGATGAAGACAGTTCGACGAGGTTGAAGATGAGCTCGGTCGATGGAAATTTCTTGCGGCGTCGGGTGAGTGAGAAAATGAGAATTAGGGTTACGTCGGTTTTGGGTTTGGGTTTGGGTTTTTGGTTTTTGGGTTTGGGTTATGGGTTTTGGGTTTGGGGTCTGGGGCTTTAAGCGTTTTTTTTTTTCTTTTCTAAGTGGAGCGGGCCGCTTAGCTTTGGGCGGCCGCATAGCTGCTCCCAGCGCCTAATGGTGGCCGCTCAAGGCACATTTAAACGTCCTGGGCATCGCCTCCGCCTAGGCGGGCGCCTAGGCGGCCGCCCAGGACGTTTTTTATAACACTGCAACTCATAATAGATTTTATCTCATTCTTCTTACCTTTTGAGCTGCAAAATTACTAATTAAAGTATTATATTTAATATTTTTTAACATATTATTTTCGATAGATAATATTGCTAAATCATTCAATCTATCTTGTAACATGGTCGGTCTTAAATAAGATTTTAGTAATTTTAATTTTGAAAAACTTCTTTCAGCGGAAGCAACTGTTACGGGTATAATCAATAGTACACGATAAGCAATACAAGTATTTGGAAAAGAATCTAACCACTTTATATAGTTCAGCACATCAATTGGACTATTAATCTCTACTTTTAAAAAGAAATTTAGGTTGTACGTTCATTTCAATAGCAAGTTCTTTAGTTGAATTCAAAGCAGACATAAAACCATTTTGTCTATAATTTTCTAAATATACAATAAGACCCTTTAATTGATCTATGACAATATCAATATGCATATCTTTAGATTGTAAGATTTTACTAACTGAATTAACAACAAACAGTATGTCATACCAAATATTCATAGCTAATAAGAATTCAAAATTTTCAATCTTATAAATTGCTAAGCTATTAGCTTCACTTTTTATCTTTGGATCTTCACTAATTTCTGCTAATTTAATCAAAACATCTCTTATATTTGGAGCTTAAAATTTTATTGCTTTTAACACTTTCAATTCGACTTTCCCATCTAGTTTGAGATAAAGATTTAACGGATAACTTGCTAATAACAATTAATTTCAAAGAAGAAGTACACGATTTGTGAAGGCACGTTAACCAAAAACACACATAAAATTAAAACAAACAAAAATAAGAAACAAAAGGAGTAAGTTCCAAGTTTAACGTGACTGGTTAACATGGCATTAAAATGAAAGCCACACAGATGTCTTCTTATAACTCTTCTTTCATTAAACCCCTCTGAAGTAACTAGCAAAGCTCTCAACTTTGATATCCATTTGAGATTTCAAAGCCTTTGATGTCAAATTTTTAATCTTTTATTATCTGGGTTTGATCCATTTTCTCAAATTCTGCCATGAATTTTCAAAGCTTGACTATCAAGAACAGTTCTTGGTTTAAAGACAGGGGCGTTGGGAGCTGGAACAATGGGATCTTTCGTCAAGGATTGAAGTGCAATTCTAGGAAATATGCGGGTTTGAGAACAAGTAGGTTTGAGGAGTTGCATTCTCTGTTCTTACCTCAGATGTTACCCAGGATACTGTAGTAAGTGACTTCCTTTAGAAAAGATTTGATCTTTTTCCCTTTCTTTTGGAATCTAAAGGAAACAAAGTTGGCTTCTATAAAACTGAACCCTAAACCCCATGTCTACGCCCAAATCATCTGTTTCAGTTCGTTGCAGTCCAGATTTCAACCCTAATTTCAACAATAATTAGGAAAAATCACTCAAATTACGACTTTCCTAAAGCCAGACCAAGATCAAAAATTCAAAATCGAGACGTCAAACCCATTTTCTATCTAAACATTTAAAACCCGTATCAGAAATCAAAATCGCAGACAGTTGCATGCAAAAATAAATCATGGGTTTTGGAAAAAATCGAAGGAGTTACCAGAAAAATCTCTGTTTTTTTATCCAGAGAGGCTGGCCATTGGCGGCGGTGCCGCGGGAGCGGAGGTGTGGCTAGCGGCGGGAGTAGGAAGAGGCGAAGAACGGGGGGAGACCGGAGCGGAGAGTCGGGAGAGTTTATCAGTTTAATCACTTGATGTTTGAGAGATCGGGACTGAGTTTAATCACTCGATCCTGATGTTTAAGAGAGGAGGCGGTGGGAGGGGGTGGGAGTAAGAGAGAAAGAAATAGGGTTAGGGTTTAGGCTGAGGGACTTAAAGAGTTGAGTTTGGGTGGGCCTTACCCAGGCAGATGTCTTACTTGCCTTAGGGCTTGTTTGGATTTGGAGTGGGTGAAGGGAAGTTAGGGGAACCTACGGGAAGTTAAGTTAAGGGAAGGGAAGGGAATTTCTAAAACTTGTTTGGGAATTAGTAAGGTGAATCAAGGGTAAGTTATTTCACCCCGTTTGGAAAGTGTAATTACGGGAAGGGAAGGGAAGTGAATGTATATAAATTGGCACAAATACCCTCACATATTATTAAGTTATATTAGATTTTGATCTTAGCTAGGGGTAAACATGTCTCTCTATATTTGTTGTATTCCCCCTCTTTACCTACACCACCATTACACACCAAATTGGGGGGGGGGGGGGGAAACACATTGGGGGGGGGGGGGAGAAATCCTGGTATTTTCTCACCTCCTTTCACCTCCCCTCACCCCTATTAACTTCTTATACTTACTTCCCAAACAAGGTTAAAAGTTACTCTCCCTTCTCCTCACCCCCATTACCCTCAATCCAAACGGGGTCTTAAGGTAGGGCTGACCCTGCCATGGAGTTGCAGACGAGATCGAAACCCTAACCCTAGATTTTTAAGGGGGGGATTTGTTCGGGGTTTAGTGGAGCGGGAAAAAGGAGCCGCCTTTTTTTAAGGAATCGGAGAGAGTGAGGAGCGAGCGCCTTGCTTCATTTTATACGCGTTTCATGTGGAGGTTAGGTTCAGTTCATCAGATATTTTCTTTAAAAGGAAGGTAAATGATGGATAATCTAATAATGCATATAGATTTTTGGCAAAACTTTGTTGTAGGTCCCTTATGTGCTAGCTAAAGTATCGTTTCGGATCATTAATATTTAGAAATCATCAACCATAGTCATTAATATTATCATTGTCATCAATATATGTTCTTTTTGCAAACTTTTGTAAAATATTGTTGACGAGATCACATGGCTGACACGTTAGCAAAAATTAGTTGCAAGTTTCATAAAAACGTATATGTTGAACTTGTGATTTCACTAATTTTTTTGCTAAACATGACAGGGTCAGATCATTGTCACGTCAACAAAATCTGATGACGAATGTAATATTAAGAACAAAAATGCCTCAGGGACCCTAAATACGGGACCCAGGGGGCAGGTGAGGTGACCCACTCTAAATGCATGATGCACTGTTCATGAACAGTGCATCATGCATTCCGAGGGGGACACCTCACATGTCCCCCCTTGGGTCCCCTATTTGGGGTCCATATAGCAGCACCCTATCAAGAATCACCACAGCTAACGTTCATGAAATATTAAAAACGCTAATAGTATTTGGGTGGTACGTTCCGTTATAAGTGAAAAAAACTTTACTTGTAGAGATAATCAGGTTGTTTTTGGTACGTCAGCTTGCTTACTGTAAAACAAATAGCTCATTTTTCTTTTCTTTTTTCTTTTTTTCTCTTTTTTTTATTTCTCAAAACTCTTGATACTTATCATAATAATACTCGCATGAGATCCCAAGCTATAGGCACTGTTTCTGAGAAAAGAACAGAATATTAAGCTGATGAAACTTAAGTTAATTCAAGTACTAATGATCAAAACTTGATATAACAGCTATCACGAAATTCAACAGAACAATAAACTTTTTTCTGTCAACAGGTTTTCCCAAATATTTTACTCTTCGAGTTCGAAGCAAACTATACTCTTTTGAGGCACATTAGAGAAAGAACTAGAGTGATTTTTGTTTTTGCATATTTAGATGTTGATTTTGCATATTTTGATGTAATTAGAGAAGCAATTGTATTTCTCGGATCTGGATTCTCTCTACTTATGTGATAATTAAGGAGGGTCTAATTCTCTCAATCTTTACCGCGTATCTCAATAATAATAGATGACATCACGCCACATAAAATTTACACCGGATATTTTGATAGTTGTTTTCAAGTGTACTAGTTGTTTCAAGACCATATGGATGGTAAAGATTGAGAGAGTTAGACCCTCTACCATTGCCACATAACTAAAGAGAATCCAGATCTGAAAGATTTAGTTGTTGTAGGTGTTTTGGTCGAAAGATACTGAAAAACAGGACAACTAGCTGCATCTAAATATGTAAAAAACAAGAAATCTATGTTGTGAACAAAAAGAGAAAATACTAAGGCGGAATCGTCCCACCAATACCAGTATATATACCACACACAGGTTTGTTGATATTTACAGATTCAAGTACCCAGATACTTTATTTCAAAAGGAAAAAACACATGAATATTGTTGAAATCGCATAAAGAAGAATTACTATTGCAGCCTGCGGAAGGGGTACCAACGAAAAAGCAATATAAATATTAGTGTCCAGGTAAACAAACTTCAAATATTTCAAATGAAAACAAACTATCAAGGAGACAATTGACAGAGGAGGGGAACCTGCATGGGGGGAATAAAATCCAATAATCAAATCCCCCCGACTTACAATATAACAACCAAAACATTCTGATTCATGCATGTTGATCACAAATACAAGTACCAGGAGAATACAAAATACATCTCTCAGCCAAAGACGATGCATCTTTCAGCCAAAGACGATGCATGCAGGATCCAAAATACATCTTTCAGCCAAAGACGATGCATCTTTCAGTCAAACCCATGGAGATGCACGTACCATGGTAGCATTTTTGAAGGTTTTGCGCGAATGCAGAACAAAAGAACTGCTGGAAAAAATAGACATCCAAACAACTAGATTTAGTAAAACCTGTACCTTAGTAAATCCACTGAACATCTCCGCAATCAAAAGCCTACAGCACTTAGCCATCATTAATCATGCAGAATGAAGATTATCTACAAAATATAAGTTCTGGGAACATCACGACCGTCGAGGTTGTACCAAGTCCAACTAAGTGCATAAAATATTTCAAACAATTTACAGAAACAGAAAAGTTCCTGGAAACACCATATCCATCCAAAGCATGATATTGACGCAACCAAAAACCAAAGAACAACTGCATGATATTGACGCAACCCAAAACCAAAGAACAACTCGGTGAACAAAATATTTCAAACAATTTACGAAAAATATACCGAAAATTATCAGCAAGCAGTTTGTAGCAAGATCTGCATGCAGGCAGAAGTCTCCTACATGGTCACAGTATGATCGCAAAAGTTCACGCAGAAGGTCGCTGTATCTCATTCCATCAAAAAAAGAAGAAGAAAAACAAACTGGCCTCAGATTACTTAAAGAATGTTGTCATAATATACTAATAGAAGAATCTCCATGAGTTCTTGACTTTCGGCTAGCAATAAGACCTTCTGCAATACTCTAAGCTTCAACTGCCACTAGAATTTCAAAACAATCAATTAGCAGAACAGAGCATAGACTTTATTCTTCAAATCAAAGCGAACTCAAATAATGCTAGGTGATGATTTAAGATAAAATGTGAATTGCTGTAGCTCAGGATTTAGTTGAATCTCAGGTTGCATTTTGGTTCTTTTATTAATCAAATACCATATTAAGGCATCCTTTATTGGTATTAGATTCTTTTTGCATACGCTTTAAGAGCTATTATGCATCTATAAATTCCATTTCCTTGAGGAAAATTCCAAAGTATCCTGCTAATTAATCCTAACAAACATCTGAAAGATGCCAAAATTTCCTGCCATAAGGTATGCATCTTTCATGGAAATCCCAATAGTAACCTTCTGGTAGCTAAATATCTTCCAGATAATACTAAATTTAACAGCTCTAGTTATTCTATACTTAGCCCATCAACCACTACATCTTCAAACCTTCTTCATGCTTAGAGGGGGAAAAACCGCAAATTTAAGCCTGCGGAAATATGGGCAACAAGTTATTGATTCAAGTCAGATCCTCCTTTCACATTTTTCATATTTGCAGTACTGCTCCAAATTCCTATAAAGACTAGAGAACTCTGATGCTAATGTATATTTCCACACAAGTACTCCCAGTACATGAGCTGAAATCCTTTACTGAAGGTTAATCTACCAGCAAAAAGATCTAGAAGTCTTAAGTATGGAAAGAACTTGTGCATTTTTTCTAACTTTATGCAATCATACGAAAGTTTATTATTCAGATCTCTTGTATGAAGTTTCACTCAATAGTTAACATTATTAAAATCGACGAATTAAGTGTTTATATTTGCCAAAAGCAATAACCAGAACTACCAAGTAAGGCTCAAGGCGAAACAAGATTTTGTTTTAGAAGGCAAAACGAGCATAGTTGGATACCCCCTCGATGTAATGCATATTAGTATCCATGAAACATAACCAAAAGAATCAATGCATGAAAGATGCTGCATAAATGAAATCCAAAAGAATGTAACTAGCTTCTATTCCACTAATAAAAGAACAATTCAAAAGAACTGATATATAATTCACCTCTTCCATCAAAGCATATCAGCTCATGATCCGCAGAAAGGGAAGTGTATGAAGTATGAACTCACTTTAACAAAAAACCTTAAAAGAAGAAGTGAACTCAGCTGGTGATTTGAGCTATTCTTCGAACACTTGGCAACGTAATCAATTCCAACTAACAAGCCAGTATATAAAAATGCCAAATTGGTTCCTCCCAAAATGGATATGCACTAAAAACAGTAGGCCATAAGAGAACTGAAATCTGATGCATCCTCATATACAGCATCAAGAGAAGAAATAAACGGGAAAAAAAAGGTACAAATTGAAATGCAGAAAATCTTGTCCACTAAAGAAGGCATGTCATCAAAGAATGCCAAATAGATTCCTCCCAAAATGGATACGTACTAAAAACAGTAGGCCATAAAAGAACTGAAATTTGACGCAACCTCATATACAGCATCAAGAGGAGAAAGAAATTTAAAAAATGTACGAATTGAAATGCAGAAAATCTTGTCCACTAAAGAAGGCATGTCATCAAAGAGCAGAATAGCTGATAAGCATTCAACTATACAGCCCTTGGATGCGCAAGGTTAATCTTCCTTCAGTTGTAAGTACTAAGAAAATAGCGCCTATCATTAGCAAAAATGTAAGAAATTGCAATATCTCAAGAAAACCTGAACAAAGCTGATGCTTTCAGCCACGAACAATAAACTTGAAACGCTTGCAGATTTCTTATCTTTGTCTCAGGTTCACAGAAGGCTGCAAGGAAAACATCTAGCAGAAGTTCCCAACTTCTTCTCTATCATCGTCGGGATTGTTGCAGATTTCTTATCAACTCAAGGTCACAAATTACGGTAAGTTATAATCAAACAATAGTAAATAGCATGTTTAAAAACAGCCAATATAGATTACAATGAACTTAGTAATACATGGAAACATACATGTTGCTTCTCCAGGATCCATTTTTAGTATTTGAAGCCTCATGCTTGCAATTTTCTTCCTCCAGGCCATTAGTAAAAGAACCAAATGAAACCGATTGCACTGGTCTAAAGACCACGCAATAATGCTACAAGCTTATTCAATTTCATTTTCCTTTTGTTAATTAACCCTTGCAAGCTTACACAATAATACAAACACAAACGGTTTGTGGTATCAACTGTCTTTGCTCATAACGAAAATGCAATGGGGAAGTAACATGAACCACGAAGAGTTCAATTAGTAAAATTTTCTTCTCGTTCATTCAACGTTTGTTTCAACAACTATAAAAGCCTGAACCCATTCACCAAATCCACATGATCGTAGATAGACTTAGACAACTTCTCTGCTTCTCCAATGTATGACTGGGGAGACAAATTCAAGAGAACGCTCTTTGCTTCTTTTGGCAATTGCAAGCCATTAGTGAACTTTTGAATGCTCTCCTTGCTGACAACTCTTCCTCTTGTGAGATCCTGGCAATTGCAAGCCATTAGTGAACTTTTGAATGCTCTCCTTGCTGACAACTCTTCCTCTTGTGAGATCCTTCAGCTTCTCATATGCCTCTGGGACGTTGTATCCGCGCATAACCTAATGCAAGAAAACAAGAGAGTCCATCACCAACAAGGATCTCTTTTAATCTTTAATATTATTGGTTATTTTGGTGTTGATTGAGCAAATGATACTCTTGATAGTGTCTCGTTGGCAGATATTGTACTTTTATTGGAGGAAATATGGTGATCTCACGATGAAGCAGACTATCGTGCCATGATTTATTGCTAAGGTTAATTATCAAGTTATGGCTCTCGCTGCTAGAGGGATTATGTTGATTAAATACCTTCATCAGGAGATAGGTGTGTTTCTACCTCAGGCTATGGAAATACATCATAATAATCAGGTTCTGGTTTATATTGCCAATGGTACAGATTAAGTCTCATGAGAACAAGAAGCATATAAAGGTTGATTGTCACTTCATTATTGTTGGACCCTAGAGGGGGGGTGATTAGGGTCAAGAGGCTCTAATATGCAATTTAAAAATCAGCACAAGCAAACCACAAAAACAGAAGTGCAATGAAATGGAAAGAGATAGAGTTAGGAATCGTTATCCTTGACGCGCGATGTGTTAACGAGGTTCGGCCCGCTGACCTACGTCCCCGCTCCCCACTCTCGAGGAGAAATCCACTAACACATCCGGTTTGGAAGCCGGAACTTCGTCTACACAATGATCCCACAAGATCTCTCTCTCACTACACAGTTTGATCTCACAGATCACACTCCCTCACAGTCGATCTACACAAGATCTCACTCACAGCAGCAGAAGAAAATGCAAGATACTCTCTTTACACAAGCCCCTATAGCAAAGAGAAGAGTATTGAAGCTGGGAAGTGAAACACACACAAGAACACAGAGGAAAAACAGATTTGAAAATTTTTCTCAGGAAGAACAGAGCTCTCTGGTTCTTTTCAAACGTTAGGGCTTAGAGGAAGAAGAAGAGGTCTGGGGGATTTTATAGAAGAGTTTAAATCATTTTAAAACAAAAACAAATCTTCCCAAATGAGATAATAATCTCTTCTTCAGGCCCTCATCACAGACTGTGCCAATCACTAACAAGTGAAAGCACAGCAGTCGAGGCAAACAACAGTTTTAAAAAAGTCACGGCTGACCAAGGCAAAAATCGGTTGACCGAAGAAAATATCGGTCGACCGAAAAATACCTTCGGTCGACCGACCAAAAAATTCGATCGACCGCCAGCAGCTAAGGAAATATAGAAAAACACCCAGAGACTCATCGGTCGACCGGCGCGGTCGACCGATTCAAGATTGAAAAATTCGGTCGACCGTACCGGTCGACCGACGACACTCTGGAAACATACTGAAGAAAGGTCATCGGATCGGTCGACCGGACCGGTCGACCGATTTCTGATATTTTATGAAATCAGGTTTTTTGACAAACTTGAAATATTTGCAAAATATTTATTTGACCTCTGAAAATTCTGAAACTTTGTAAAATGTTTTTAATACTAAAAACAAACTGCTTGGAAAAAGAATTTTGCAGATAGGTACTCATACTTGTGAAAAATAGTATTTTGTGAAAAACGCTTAAAAGCACAAGTTTAAAAACGTGCGTGTGATTCCCAATAGCTTCAAGTAAACTCAGTAACTCTTTGCCTACATTCTAGCACTAGAGAGAAAAACAAAAGAAAGCTAATATCCTCATGTAGAGAGCAATATACTTGAGCTTTAATATAGCTTGAATCGGATGAAGCTTTTAATCGAATTTGTCGTTCTTGAAATAACATTGTTTCATCTCTTGGCCTCCTCCTCCTTTGGATATCTTCGTTGTAGCATATATTCCATCCATCCTCCATTAATGGCACTAACGAGCTTGGCAAATGAATTTACTACATTTACACTCAATAAGCCATTAGCACCGATAATGGTGGTTGTAAGAACATCATCAAAACATAAGGGCTAACAATTATGAAATGATATTGAGCAAAATGTCACTTCACATGTCAATTCAGACAGATAGGTAACGGTTTCCCTTTGGGTGGGGGGGAGGGGGGATCAATAGTACACGATAAACAATACAAGTATTTGGAAAAGAATCTAACCACTTTATATAGTTCAGCACTTCAATTGGACTATTAATCTCTACTTTTAAAAAGAAATTTAGGTTGTACGTTCATTTCAATAGCAAGTTCTTTAGTTGAATTCAAAGCAGACATAAAACCATTTTGTCTATAATTTTCTAAATATACAATAAGACATTAAGAAACGAAGAGAGTTACAAAGCAGTGTAATTTCATGAGTCTATGTCATTATTAAATATGTAATTTAGAATGAGACATATTGATAGCACTGTATCAAAAATGTACAATCAAAGTATTATTACTTTAAAATAATGAGCTTTAAACTTCAAACTAATTTGGGCAAGTTTCAGAATAAACTTGATTAAATGTTAACAGTGGGATTGTCTTTATACATCGGCAGCATATTGAGCAAAAAAGGAGCTTTTGCCACTTTTAGATGTATCTTTCTTCGCATCAACTACTAGGACGTACAGACAGAATTTTTGCAAAAGAATCATGCTAGATATCATAGTTATGGATCCCAAATAATAGATCTAAAGGAAATTGAAAAGGATAGCAAAGACATAGTTCATACAATATTTTTGAGGGAAATGGTTAGTACAATTTTAGAAAAGAAATACTTATATAGAAAAACACTTAAACATCCGTAAAAATCATATATATTATTAGATGGATGTAAATTGGATAGAAATTATGTTGACAGCAAGACAAGAATTCATCTTGAAATGGATCCTCCACATTTCTATGATCTTGTAATTCACAGAATTTAGCATCTTGCATTAGTGACGAATTCAAATTCAACATATGCCCAACCCAAATAGCTAAAGCAAGAACAGAACAAACAACATACATGAAGCAAAGAACGACGACAGCGGCGCATTTCCTACCAATAACACATCTAGCTTTATATCTAATTCTCTAGTGATAACCATCTCATACAGATTTTACTACTAACCTGAAGCTTCCGGATTCCTTGTAGTGCACTTTTGTATGCCAAGAGAGAATACCCAGATCCAATACCCAAATTCCTCAAAACAGTGGAATCGGTCAAATCCCTCTGTCAATGATTACACATGCAATAAGTATAGTATCACTTTACCAGAATGAGACACTAAAGACGTGTTTTTTGAACTGTGATATAGCACTGAACTTCACATTAGGCACTCCTCAAGAACCATGAATAAAGGTGGAAAAGTAAGTGATACACACCTGCATACGAGAGATGGGCAATTTCGAACTGAGAGCAGATAAAATAGCATTAGCCAAACACAAGTTGCCCTCACTATTCTCAAAATCAATAGGATTAACTTTATGAGGCATAGTTGAAGATCCAATCTCCCTAGCCTTGGTCATCTAGAAAGCAAAATTATCATAAAATTGTTTAGTTCCAAATTGGAAGTTTGGGAGCTAAAATAGGTCCTAATATTTTAGGGGCATGTGGTCAAGTATAAGAAAGTTACCTGCTTAAAATAACCTAACGAAATATAGCTCCATATGTCCCGATCAAAATCAGTCAGGATGTTATTAAACTGAACAACTACATTGAAAAGCTTTGCGATATAGTCATGCGGCTCAATCTGCATACGGAGCAAGCAACAGGCTCAGAAAGAGAGTATGCATGCAAGTCAAGTGCCATTCCATTCATAGGCCACATTGACATAACCTTTCAGACAACACAAACTTAACAAAATTATTAGCTGGCGCTGCAATTCCATTATTAGTTATGCACTAACTGGTTGGTATAGAATAGGCTAATTGATAAATGTACTGTAATTCCAAGATAGATGGATAACCTGCAAGTGTATCTACTTATTATCAAGCATGCACATGGTAGTATCTACTTACTATATGAATCACCTTTTGTAAACTCTTGAAACGTGAAATGGCAAAAAAAAACCTACATTTCAGTCACCTGGTCGAATGCAAAACTCATATTAAAGAAAATCCCAGGCTCTATTAGTTATACACTTATACAGTTTGTATAGTTGCCTAAATCTTCACGAGGACTGTTTACTAGTAAACTAGATCAAGCAGAGAACAAGGAATACAAGCAGCAGTGTCAAAACAGGTAAATAAAGTACTCATCCCATTAATGAAACCTATCCAAGTCATCCACAAAGAAAAAACCATATCAAACTCGTCTATGCATTACTTAATTACGAAAAAAAATCCATCAAGCTGAAATGAATCAGATAGGTAAAACCTTGCAAAGAGAAAAGTAGTAGAAGTAAATAAACATGTCTGTGTCACGTAAGGGTTGAAACCTAACCCCAAAGAGGTCACGAACTCAGCTGCAACAGTTGGCCAATCAATATCAGGATATGCAACTTTATATGCATTGTAGTTTCCAACAGCTCCAGCACACTTGCCCAATAGTTACACTTCTGTAAAGGTCTTCCCTACTTCACTTAGTCTGAAAGCAAAATTTGCCATCTCCTTTCCCAAAGTAGTCGGTGAAGCAGGCTACAAAGGGAGTTAGAAGATATCAGAACTAAACCACATAAACCTATTACAAAAGCAAATCATTTATTCCTGTAGCATAACGATGAAAATTATCAATATGATATTTCAGCTGCTTTGAGCAGTCAACTTAGTATATGTCCGCTTCTAATATTGGCCATGTCACACCCCGGGCTGAAGGGCCCATTGGTGCGGCACAAGCCGTGGGACCCAACAAGTGTAACATGTTGTTTGGCTCAATCCACTGCCAAAATTGACTAACCGATGTTACACTTAAATAATTTAAACCACATAAATTCTCACTCATTTCCCGATGTGGGGCTAAATAGGAGTGTCACGAACACCCCACCTTACATAAGCGACGTCCTCATCGTGACATAACAATTGGCACATCACGGTATCACTAGGCTATTTGGACTCTAGAGGTGGCTCCCGCCGCACTCACGCAATATAGCACTTAGCCCCGCATAACACTTAGACCTCGTTTGGTACGCGGGAATATGGTGGAATGGAATGGTCATTCTCACTTCTCATTCCTTCCTACCAAACACACCATCTTTTTTGAAGTTAGAATGCACATTCTCACTTCTCATCAATTCTCACTTTATGTGAGAATGAGCATTCCCAATGAAATGATAGGGAATGAGCATTTCCACTTAAATGAGAATCAATAAAATATACAATTTTAAAATACGTCCATTCCCACTTCCTTTTATAAATTACACCCAAACGTGAGAATGAGAATGACTATTCCATTCTCACATTAATTCCATTTCATCCATTCTTCCATTCCATTCTCATTTGAGTCCATTCCCGCGTACCAAACGAGGCGTTAGTTCCACCCTTCCGACTCGCAACTGCTCTGATACAATTTGTCACGTCCCGGGCCGCCGGGCCTATTGGTGCAATACAAGTCGTGTGACCCACTAAGTGTAACACGTTTGGCTCAACCCACTGTCAAAATCGACTAGTAGATGTTACACTTGAGTCTTGGGCTAACCTATTTAAGCAACTAAACTTCTCACTCATTTTCTGATGTAGGACTAAATAAGAGTGTGACAGGCCAGGAAAAAAAAGACATGATTATATTATTTTTAACCTTCAAATTGAAAAGGTTTCATTTAATTTATTTCATAGCATCAAGCTAAAAACTCATGAAGAAAGGAATGTAGAACATGTCCTGCAAACATATATGAACAAAGATAGACAGTATAATCTTTATCAAACCAGTAATTATACATGATGTATTAGGCCCATGTAGAAAATTCCAGAGTTTCAGCATGTAATCATTATTTAATTATTTCTATATAAGCCCCCCCCCCCAAAAAAAAAGCTTACTTTTGTATAAAAAATTTCACCGAAATGACCTTTTTATATAAAAGTTAAGTTTTTTTGTGGGGGCTTATATAGAAATAATTAAATAATGATTACATGCTGAAACTCTGGAATTTTCTACATGGGCCTAATACATCATGTATAATTACTGGTTTGATAAAGATTATACTGTCTATCTTTGTTCATATATGTTTGCAGGACATGTTCTACATTCCTTTCTTCATGAGTTTTTAGCTTGATGCTATGAAATAAATTAAATGGAACCTTTTCAATTTGAAGGTTAAAAATAATATAATCTTGTCTTTTTTTTTCTGGTCTGTCACACTCTTATTTAGTCCTACATCGGAAAATGAGTGAGAAGTTAAGTTGCTTAAATGGGTAAGCCCAAGACTCAAGTGTAACATCAACTAGTCGATTTTGGCAGTGGGTTGAGCCAAACGTGTTACACTTAGTGGGTCCCACGGCTTGTATTGCACCAATGGGCCCGGCGGCCCGGGGCGTGACAAATTGTATCAGAGCAGTTGCGAGTCGGAAGGGTGGAACTAACGCCTCGTTTGGTACGCGGGAATGGACTCAAATGAGAATGGAATGGAAGAAGGGATGAAATGGAATTAATGTGATAATGGAATAGTCATTCTCATTCTCACGTTTGGGTGTAATTTGTAAAAGGAAGTGGGAATGGACGTATTTTAAAATTGTATATTTTATTGATTCTCATTTAAGTGGGAATGCCCATTCCCTATCATTTCATTGTGAATGCTCATTCCCACATAAAGTGAGAATTAATGAGAAGTGGGAATGAGCATTCCAACTTCAAAAAAGAGGGTGTGCTTGATAGGAAGGAATGAGAAGTGAGAATGACCATACCATTCCACCCCATTCCTGCGTACCAAACGAGGCCTAAGTGTTATGCGGGGCTAAGTGCTATATTGCGTGAGTGCGGCGGGAGCCATCTCTAGAGTCCAAATAGCCTAGTGATACCGGGATGTGCCAATTGTTATGTCACGATAAGGACGTCGCTTATGTAAGGTAGGGTGTTCGTGACACTCCTATTTAGCCCCACATCGGGAAATGAGTGAGAATTTATGTGGTTTAAATTATTTAAGTGTAACATCGGTTAGTCAATTTTGGCAGTGAATTGAGCCAAACAACACGTTACACTTGTTGGGTCCCACGGCTTGTACCGCACCAATGGGCCCTTCAGCACGGGGCGGGTCCCACGGCTTGTACCGCACCAATGGGCCCTTCAGCACGGGGCGTGACATGGCCAATAGTAGAAGCGAACATATACTAAGTTGACTGCTCAAAGCAACTGAAATATCATATTGATAATTTTCATCGTTATGCTATAGGAATAAATGATTTGCTTTTGTAATAGGTTTATGTGGTTTAGTTCTGATATCTTCTAACTCCCTTTGTAGCCTGCTTCACCCACTACTTTGGGAAAGGATATGACAAATTTTGCTTTCAGACTAAGTGAAGTAGGGAAGACCTTTACAGAAGTGCAACTATTGGGCAAGTGTGCTGGAGCTGTTGGAAACTACAATGCACATAAAGTTGCATATCCTGATATTGATTGGCCAACTGTTGCAGCTGAGTTCGTGACCTCTTTGGGTTTAGGTTTCAACACTTACGTGACACAGGCATGTTTATTTACTTCTACTACTTTTCTCTTTGCAAGGTTTTACCTATCTGATTCATTTCAGCTTGATGGATTTTTTTTGCGTAATTAAGTAATGCATAGACGAGTTTGATATGGTTTTTTCTTTGTGGATGACTTGGACAGCTTTCATTAATGGGAGGAGTACTTTATTTACCTGTACTTTTTTGACACTGCTCCTTGTTCTCTGCTTGATCTAGTTTACTAGTAAACAGTCCTCGTGAAGATTTAGGCAACTATACAAACTGTAAAAGTGTATAACTAATAGAGCCTTGGGATTTTCTTTAACATGAGTTTTGCAATCGACTCAGGTGACTGAAATGTAGGTTTTTTTTGCCATTTCACGTTTCAAGAGTTTACAAAAGGTGATTCATATAGTAAGTAGATACTACCATGTGCATGCTTGATAATAAGTAGATACACTTGCAGGTTATCCATCTATCTTGGAAATACAGTACATATATAAATTAGCCTATTCTACACCAACTAGTTAGTGCATAAATATTAATGGAATTGCAGCGCTAGCTAATAATTTTGTTAAGTTTGTGTTGTCTGAAAGGTTACGTCAATGTGGTCTGAAAGGTTATGTCAATGTGGCCTATGAATGGAATGGCACCTGACTTGCATGCATACTCTCTTTCTGAGCCTGTTGCTTGCTCCGTATGCAGATTGAGCCGCATGACTATATCGCAAAGCTTTTCAATGCAGTTGTTCAGTTTAATAACATCCTGACTGATTTTGATCAGGACATATGGAGCTATATTTCGTTAGGTTATTTTAAGCAGGTAACTTTCTTATGCTTGACCACATGCCCCTAAAATATTAGGACCTATTTTAGCTCCCAAACTTCCAATTTGGAACTAAACAATTTCATGATAATTTTGCTTTCTAGATGACCAAGGCTGGGGAGATTGGATCTTCAACTATGCCTCATAAAGTTAATCCCATTGATTTTGAGAATAGTGAGGGCAACTTGTGTTTGGCTAATGCTATTTTATCTGCTCTCAGCTCGAAATTGCCCATCTCTCGTATGCAGGTGTGTATCATTTACTTTTCCACCTTTATTCATGGTTCTTGAGGAGTACCTAATGTGAAGTTCAGTGCTATATCACAGTTCAAAAAACACGTCTTTAGTGTCTCATTCTGGTAAAGTGATACTATACTTATTGCATGTGTAATCATTGACAGAGGGATTTGACCGATTCCACTGTTTTGAGGAATTTGGGTATTGGATCTGGGTATTCTCTCTTGGCATACAAAAGTGCACTACAAGGAATCCGGAAGCTTCAGGTTAGTAGTAAAATCTGTATGAGATGGTTATCACTAGAGAATTAGATATAAAGCTAGATGTGTTATTGGTAGGAAATGCGCCGCTGTCGTCGTTCTTTGCTTCATGTATGTTGTTTGTTCTGTTCTTGCTTTAACTATTAGGGTTGGGCATATGTTGAATTTGAATTCGTCACTAATGCAAGATGCTAAATTCTGTGAATTACAAGATCATAGAAATGTGGAGGATCCATTTCAAGATGAATTCTTGTCTTGCTGTCAACATAATTTCTATCCAATGTACATCCATCTAATAATATATGAGACAACATGGAGATATGAGCATTTTCCTTCGCTAATTTGCATATTGCATTCAACAACTCAATCATCACAGGAAATATGACAGTGTTGAACGCCTCCTTCAGTGCCAATGCATGGGCTAAATTATTTATATCCTCTGATGTACAAGCAAAATGGAAAAACTCCAGTACCTAAAAAAGAATTTTGTAGAATCTGATGTCAAATATTAAGCATCAAATGAAATCTTTGAAATCATAGTTAGTCATAGTTATAAAAAGAGGAAGCATAGAGTACCCACAACAAGGAACATCAAAAACTCACCTCAGCAATCTCAGCATTGGATTGACATTTCTGTTTCAAGAAGTATTCCACTGCTTTAACATCGTGGTTAGTTACTTTTTCAATCTTTTTCACTTCCAGAGCATCAGCTTTGCTGAAGCCACTAACTATACTTTCTAAATAAGACCTGGCATTCTCGCTAAAGCTTTGAACCTCCTTGATTTCAGGTATTTCTGATAATTTTAGCAACCATTTTACCTACAAAAGAATCGCTTCATATTAACATTTTGCACTAAGTAGCTAACATGAAAATAACTACAGTGGCCAGCTTTGTCAGATCATGATGGGTAATGGAGAAAGAGGTAAACCTTTTTTACTTGTAAGTTACCTCTTTCTCCATTACCCAAGACATGACTACATTATGACAAGTTTTAATGAAGATTGCTACCTATATCAAAGCAGAGGCTGGACGTTTTGTTAGATTGTAAAAGAAAGCACACTAATAAGCATGACCTAAATAAACAATGTTCGATGGACTCATACAGAAACTGCTAATACTACATCATATGCAAATTTATTAGAAGATGTGTATCAATGTCAAATATGCATATCAAATATAAATATCCTAACGGTTCACGGAACATTTTTGGCACAACTTTAAACCTTTAACTAAGGCTTTAAACCTTTTATCTAAATACCTGAGACATTATGATTTGTAAGCCAGACGGAAGATTTATATCCAATCAACAACAATTTCTTCATGCTTTACCAGAAACATTTCTTTATCATTCGCTACAAAAATGATTGTATAATCTACATTTAAATATGAAACCACTATTCTTAAAAAAACATAATGTAAGACTAACACTGTGCACTGGTGTTGAATAAAAAAATACTTATTAAATATGTATTCTTACAGGAGAATTTAATGAAAATTACCTCAACTATTACACGGTAACGGATTAACCCATATTCACTAAAGAATGGGTGCAAATCCTTGACTTTCTGCAAATATCGGCCATCTAAAGGTGATAAAGCCATAATGCTAAAAGACTCAAGATCAACAACCTCCTCTTCACGATGATGCTGCCAAAACATATTCAACCAGTTGTCCAAATATGAGGAAAATTGAAGAAAACTGATCACCAAAAAATTAGATCATTCCGGATCAAACTTAATCATCATTGAAGATTCACAAGCCCAATTATTGGATGGAATACAGCTACCTATAAATTAGGGACTGCCAAAGGATCATCTCTATTTTTTTAAAAAAATTAAGAACCTGAAATTCAAAATACAACAGTGGAGCCCTACATTACAAATTCCGAAGAAGAAAAAAAATGACCTATACCATATGATATTTATTTTTTACTAAAAGTTTTACCAAAATATTCCCTCCTGTAAACTTATAAAAAAATCATATCTTTATTCAAAAATCCAAAAGATGCCACTTTTGAGAAACATTTCAAGATTATAGTATATGAGATTTAAGAAAACTTAACAACGAAATAATAAAAAAAACAAAAAACAAGCATGCAGTCAATAAAAGGCAGGGGTTGCGTTCGTGAAAATTCCACCGCCAAGAAACCGGGAATGGAGATCTTTACCTTCGTAGTCGTGACTCCTTCTGAACTGCTCAACGAAACCCTAAGTGGTTCGAATCGCCAAGGAGGGGTGGGCTGAATCCGAAACCCTAGCTGGCCTGATCGTATGCTGATCGAAGACGAAGAGGGAGAGGAGGAAAAGGGCGGCAAGAAAGCGAACGGGGCTCGACGGGGTGATAAGAGCTTTTCCATGGAGCAGGGCGTACCTAGGAATTTTAGGGCCTAAGACGAAATATTTGATGAGGCCTAAGTGATACAACTCATCACTGTTACATTAAACGCTGGGCACCCCTAGGCGTCGGACTTGGCGCCCAGCGCTTAGACGCCTAGGCGGGCGCCTAAGCGGTTTCTGTACGGTTTTTTTCTTTTTTCTATTTTTAATTGTGATACTTGAAGATAAATATATATATACTCAATCAAAAATGCTCACTGACTTTGTTTTTCTTTTTTTACAGATTATACTTAGTTAAGTAGCAAGCTGCAAGGATGAAGGATCAATCAAATTTCCCAACACAACTACCAAATTAAATATCGATAATTCATTCATTAAATATGTATATTCATATTGTATTCCTATTTTCAAAATTGTGAAGTGTGTGAAGTGTGGAGTGTGAACAGAAGAAAAAATTAAAGAAAAAAAGAAGTGTGAACAGCAAAAAGGGATTAACCAGAAGCAGGTACCTAGTTTTTAACTCAATATCTGCACTGAGCAAAAAGGGAACCTTTTCTAACATTTAAAAGAGGTAAAACTATCTTTCCCCATATATTCAAAGATACACGAATCATGATATTGGACTCAAAAGGGAACAAGCTGCTGATAAACCCAAAAAACTTGACTAATGAATTCAGTGAGCATCCCAAAAAAACAGAAGCAGCAAACTAACATGACTAATGAATTCGGTGAGCTAATTTGATATGTTAGAGCTAGTATTTAGCTTTTCTTAACAGACTCATTTACATTATGCCTTTCCATCAAACACATCATAAGTTTCAAGTTATTAATCTTTCTTGATTTGCCCATTTACACCATTGTTTAATGTCTGTTCTGTTCATCTTAATTACACGGATGATCTGAAAACACCAAAACCATATTAATGTTAAGTTGTTAACCTTTAAACCAAAAAACTTGAAATCAAAGGTCATCACTGAAGTCTGAAATAGTAAAATGATAAATAAAATAAGAAAATAACATTAAATCCTTTACCTTGTTACAGGAATGAAGCAGACTCCCAAAGGCTTCGAGAATCGAGAGGCTTCGACGAGTTCGAGCTTCGACGAGGAACAGATCGGAGGTTGAAGACGAGCTCAGAGGTTGAAGACAAAGCTCGGAGGTTGAAGACGAAGCTCCGACGAGTTCGAAGACGAGGTTGAAGCTCGGAGGTTGAAGACGAAGCTTCGACGAGTTCGAAACGAGGTTGAAGCTCGGATGTTGAAGATCGAAGACGAGGTTGAAGACGAGCTCGAGCTTCGACGAAGATGAAGACAGTTCGACGAGGTTGAAGATGAGCTCGGTCGATGGAAATTTCTTGCGGCGTCGGGTGAGTGAGAAAATGAGAATTAGGGTTACGTCGGTTTTGGGTTTGGGTTTGGGTTTTTGGTTTTTGGGTTTGGGTTATGGGTTTTGGGTTTGGGGTCTGGGGCTTTAAGCGTTTTTTTTTTTCTTTTCTAAGTGGAGCGTTTTTTTTAAGTGGAGCGGGCCGCTTAGCTTTGGGCGGCCGCATAGCCGCTCCCAGCGCCAAAAGGTGGCCGCTCAAGGCTCATTTAAACGCCCTGGGCATCGCCTCCGCCTAGGCGGGCGCCTAGGCAGCCGCCCAGGGCGTTTTTTATAACACTGCAACTCATAATAGATTTTATCTCATTCTTCCTACCTTTTGAGCTGCAAAATTACTAATTAAAGTATTATATTTAATATTTTTTAACATATTATTTTCGATAGATAATATTGCTAAACCATTCAATCTATCTTGTACCATGGTCGGTCTTAAATAAGATTTTAGTAATTTTATTTTTGAAAAACTTCTTTCAGCGGAAGCAACTGTTACGGGTATAATCAATAGTACACGATAAGAAATACAAGTATTTGGAAAAGAATCTAACCACTTTATATAGTTCAGCACTTCAATTGGACTATTAATCTCTACTTTTAAAAAGAAATTTAGGTTGTACGTTCATTTCAATAGCAAGTTCTTTAGTTGAATTCAAAGCAGACATAAAACCAT